CCCTAAAATATGGAGATGATCCCCAATTAATAAATCAGATTTTTACGGGCAGGGCTGCTTCCCATGGTCTTAAGGTCAAGCTTATTGAGTATAGCCCATCTGTATAATGGGGTCGTTAATGTGCAACTAGCCCGCCGCCAAAACTTCAGGAGAACGGGCTCTAGAAGCTTCTTTAAGAAGTTTCCGCAGTCTCCGTATCCTCACCGCAAGCAGTTTATCACGAATATTCTTAGTTGCTTCCTGATGATTTACTCTTCAAGGATGTTTCTGATATGAGGTTTCTGACTGGTTCTTAAGCGCAGTCTGTTGTGATGTGGGGGATAATGGGCCTTATGTTGCACCATGACAACGTCCCTACTGAGTCTCCTGCATTGTACCGGCCGCAACTCAACAACAACCAAGAGACCCTGTTGAGGCTTGTAGGCTGGTGAAACTACTTTTTTCGTCGATTTTTCCTAAATCCACACCATGACAGATATATCTTTCTTCAAATATGTGGGATAAAACCGCAGAACTTTTCCACACATTTGGACGGAAATACTGCCCACTGCTGAGGTGTAGAGGACTGCAGTTAGACTCGCTAAAACTCCCCAAAGAATCCTCGGGAGCCGGTCGAGCCTGATAATTACAAGATGGCGATTAGACGAGGCTTAACTTGTGCTATTCAAGGCGACCTCCAGATCTCCGGTGTCTTGTTGACCAATATATTTCGCCGGAGGGAGTATGGACTAAAGTTAAGTATATTTTTGTCTGCTATAACTATGCTAAACTTCTTTGGGTCGCGAGAGAGCGGAAATCAACCTCTTCAATCTACTATTTTAGATTGCCTCTTCTAGAAGGCAGAAATACCTAATGGCCCCGAACTTCCTTAAAGTATTCGTGTACACGAATGCAAACCAGTTTCGCAGGCATGATCTCATTTTTTTGGCGAAAAACAATATTAGATGAAAAATGCGACACCCGAGTGCATTTCACGATTTGGTCGTTTGCTTTCGTGACTGTTTTTCTGCGCATGAGGTTTTGTACAATGCTTGCCTCTCCTGAGTGTTAACTGACACCTTTATTTTCCATCGGTATTCATGCTATGTCTTGTTTCGGAGCTTTACTTGAAGGTTTAATCCCATGCTAAGCTGGGGATCATCTGTTTTTGCGTAGGAGGCCACTTACCTGTCTTCCTTAAGACCATATGTCAGCGCACAGCCTTTGCCCACTCCTCCAGCGTCTTTAGGTTGTCTTGTTCGATTGGTTTTCCCGGTTTACAGTTTACACAGCTTGGCATTTCGGTATAGATGAGAAATGGGGGGCTTATGCTCTTCCAAAGATCATCAAGTGATAAGAAATGTATTTGAATGTCAACCACTGATAACTGACCTGGTGACTCAATGGTATTGTACTCGCCGAAAAACCTGAAGGTTCTGGATTCCAAACAGGGCGAGGCCGTAGGTGCGCACTGACGAGGAATCCTAGACCAGGATGAAACGGCAATCTAGTACTCCTAATTATTCAGTGGGCCTCTAGCCAATATTGGTCTGTTATAAAAGCTAAGCTAAAATCAGTAAGTCCTCACAAACCTCCGAATTAAATAACAGATTAATGAGGGTATGAGGATGAGGGTTGGGTACTTAGGTTGGTTGTAGTTCCATTTCGGTCTGTTTATTCGGCTTGTCACATAGTGGAACGGCGTCACTAACCGGATGACTCATCGAGAAATCTCTTACTCGTGTTCAGATCTAATATTCATACCCTTTAGGAATGTGGACAATAACTTACGCCCCGAAAGTTATCCAGTGAATAATACTTTTTCACTCCGAGACGTTTACAACAAACAGACTAAAAATGAATAAATTAGCATGTTTTCACTTGATTGGGAGCTGTTTATGCCCACTGATGATTGAAATTGTTGGCACAACAGGTTACATAAAATACTTGCAAAATCCTTTAAGACCGATCGTTAGAATTTGTCAAATCCCGTATGTTTTCCGCACAAAGCAGTGGTGGCTTTTCGAGCGCCACTTATTGGCTTACCATAGGTATGCCTATCACTTCACATCTAGTCCTCAAGGAACCTGATGACCTGAAAGCCAGGAAGATGTTCCTCTACAAGGACCGCGTTGACATGGTCCACTGATTGATATGCTTTTCCCTTGTAAAGAGTCGACAAAGGTTCTTGGTTTCTTTCATGAGGTTCACCATTAACTATTTTTCATACCTGCCACATGTTTTGACTGAGCGCCTTCATAAAGGTGGCTTTTATTTGTCTTGTGCCTCATGCAAAAGTGAAGCAAGTGCCACAAGAAGTCCGACTTCCTGAGCGATCGGAGGACAGTCAACCCATGTAAACCAGGGATCGAAATGACTAGAATAAGTAGCAACGTGAGCAGCGTGCACTGGTTAATATCATAACGAAAACCAGGGATACAGCGACCAACTTTCTCGCAGGCAAAGTCGTGTGGAGCGTGGTGGTGTGAATATAAAGCACACATCATAACAAGGATACCAGCAAAATGATATGTTCAAAACCGACATTCGGTCGTGTAACACTGTCTCAAAAACACCACACAAAAAGGAGAGGCATAAAGATTCCTCAGAAACAAGAATTTTTGGAACCGTACGTCCTGAGAATAGGTACATCGCTTGTGGCAGAAAAACACCGACAACATTATAATCAATTCAGCAGTAATAACAGGCCGAAGGCCTTGTTGCCGGCACTTCCTAAGGTAGCAGATACCAAGTTGCGAACGGTGTTTGAAACCTTCAACCATTCAACCCAACACGTGTGCAACGAAGTTGATGACCACTGCGGATGAAATTATCCTTATTATTATTCGTCCCTTGGGTTCCTAGTGGAACACGGAGCTTCAGTAGCATGCCCCCACTGCACTCTCTTCTCTCAGTATTTTGAACCTCGCTCCACCACTGCCCACAAGCTTTCATTTCTTCTTCACATGATCTCCAAGTCACCCCCAGCTGAGACACCCAACTAGTCGTTTCCCCTTTGGATCTCACTCGAGGGCCTGGCGCGTGATGTCCCCAATCGGTCTCCTCAGTCTATGTCCGATCCAATCCATCTCCATTTTCTTCTGTATATTTATTGGGCGACGTGTTCTTGGTTGGTTCGTTGCCAGAGTTCCTTGTTGCTTGTTCTTATTACTCTGGCCATCTGATCATCAGTATCGAGCGTAGGCAGCTGTTGATGAATGTCTGTAGTTTGTTGGGAGTACTTTTCGTAACGCGCCAAGTTTCTGAACCATGCAGCAGCATTGACTTGACACTGGTGTTGAAAATCCGGATCTTGTTCTTTGCGCTGAGTGCAGTAGATCTCCACGTTGGCTTTAGACCAATGAAAGCCTCTCTTGCTTCTCCGATCCTGGTTTTGACTCATGGTCCGTGCCGCCTATCGCTGAAACGATGCTGCCTAGGTAGGTGAAAGAGACAACTTCCTTTGTGTTTCCCTGGTTTGTGGTGACTAGCGTGCATTTTGTCGTTATTGTCGGTGGCGGCAACTGGGTACCTTCATCACCTCCGTCTTCCCTAAAATCACTTGAAGTCCCGTTTTCGCTGCCTCGCCTCTTCTGTCAACTTGTTAGTCTTTGCCTGTACATCTCCGAGTTCCTGCGATATTAGACACAAATCTTCGTCGAAATCCAAATCTCCCGAGCCCTTTTCGTCGGTCCAGAGTGTGCTCATCTTCTCGCTCCTCACTGTTTGCCGCTTGATCCAGTCCACCACAACCACGAATGTCATCGGTGATAGGAGTTGGCAGACTTCTCTTACTGGGAAGCATAAAACGAAACGGGACTATGTCAACTTGAAGATACTCAAAAATCGATGACGATGAAGGTTTTTGAGTTGGCGACCCATCGGCGATTTCTCTCCGCTGGTTTTCTCTTCTACCCTTTTGTTTGCTATGACGGCAAACTACGAAGGACTGTTTTTAAGTCGAAGGACTTTGGTAAATTTCGGGACGGTTCAGCGTTGCCGGAGTATTTTTCGTTTGATAGTGGCTTGAGCTTCAGCCTGGACTAGACAAAAGTGATATGCTTTTTAACACCAGAACCCACAAAGTTGACGTATACCCTCTACAATGATATAACCACCATGGTGCCCAAGGAGAATAACCCGAACCAAACTTCTCAAGGATACTAGAAACCAATGTCGGTCATAAAACGGTGACCGTAACAGGGACTTCTGTCATACAGTTTGTGTGATGCTGACCGGGCAGCCCTACTCCTTAATCATTCTTTACGGTTTTCAAAACCAACATTAAACTACACGTGATGTGTTCAGTTGGATTACCTCCTCCATTATCAGCGACACAAACATTCTCACGAAATTGCAGGGTTGTGCATCAAAGATCTTTGTTAAAGTAGAGGGCAAAACGTGGCACCCAAAAACAACTGTATCCATTCACCGTCAGATAATGCAGGAAAAGAGGTGACCTGGTAACAGCCTTCAGGTGAGTAATCGTGGCAGAATAACATTATCGGCACAAGGCCAATGGTCCCGTGTTAATCCTGTTAGTTCACCTTCACAACAGCACACCAAAATGTGAGATCAACCACACCAAATCCCCAAAACATCCTCTGCATACTAAACTGATAATAATTAACACGTAAGATCACCAAAGAAGTTTATTCATCTCATAAGTAGCTTAGTAACACGTAAACAACCACTTTTCAGTTCGCGTCCAAAAAACCTTAGAGCAGAATACTAGTACCAAGAAAGATATAAGGATGTGAAATGTAAACGCTCCTGTGGTCAATGAAAGGAAAATACCGGTCAGAAAAACGAGACTCCAAAGCTATGGGCTTAAGTTAAAAACCAACATATTTGTACAGTTGCACTATTTGTGGTGGATATTAGAACATTATGTTATGAAAGAGATATTGAATGTGAGGAATAATTGTCGCTCCTAGAATGAGAAATATATTGTTCGAAGTTTGTTTTACTCATTTGATAAACGTTGTTATCATCGCAACAATAACCACTTTTTAATTTATGCGAAAATGGCATCGAACCCTTTCCTCATACCAGATTTCAAAAATATTTTGAACTGAGGGACAAAGAAAAAGAAGAAAGACTAAAGGTTCTTACCTGTGGATATTTTACTCCCTATTATGTTTTAGAGGGGCAAAGAGCTAACGAATTTAAGCGTTTATGAAAAGATTCAGTCTAACAAAAAAGTCAAGTCAAGGAGGTCAGTTCTTCTAGAATTGTATTCCGAGGGTGGAATAAGTACTCCAGATGCCGGTAACACTGCTTTCATCTTGCAGAAAACAAAAAGTTAGTTCTTTTGAAGCATTTCTACATATGTATAAAGGGCAGTTCACTGATAGGGAAACACGAGACCAGTTATTGCTCATAGAAGAGAAATGTTTTTTCTTGAATACTCCATCGCAATTCGACGTGCAGAGCTGAAAAGATTGATGGATTTGGCATCTCATGAAGATAAGAAACTAGAACTTGCTGAACAGTGTTTGGAACAAGACGCCGCACTTTTCGATGAGTTTTTGAAAGAAAATGACAAAAGTTCTGTTGAAGCGATCGCCAAGTTAGTAGGAGTTCGTGATAACTTTTTATCGTTACAGCCGTAACAAAAATCACAATGTTTTGTGAAAAATTGGGAATTGCAGGATCGATTAATTTGATGTAGGTATATTTTCAGTACGTCATTAGTAGTAATAAGGTCTAGGGGTTCACGACGTTTTTCAAGGGGCATTCGAAGTGGTGGGGACTATTTTGAGAGTCTTGTAGTAAGCATCTTCTGGGTTTCGGATTCAGATTTATTGTTTGAGGATAGAAGGCTGGGAGCCTATATTAATCCTTTTCCAGTAGATTTATGTACTTGTCCAATCCTCTTTTGAACGAATCAATTGATGATGTGGACACCACTTCTTCTGCAAGTCGGTTACAGGTGATGATTACTCGACGCGAGAATCAGTACTCTGCAGAGACTATGTTCGTTTTTGCTTTTGTAGTCTCCTACTATGTCGTCTGGGGTATTCCAACCAAGTGGGAAGGAAAAGAGAAGATAGATCGGATCTGAAGTCATTTCTTAGAACCCTGTATAGCGTGATTAAGTCTCTCCTCTGTCTACAATAGGATGAAGTGAAGAGGTTCAGCTCCTTAAGTCGGTCTTCATAGGTGAGGCCAGCTATCGCAAGGATCATATGAGTAACTGCCATCTGAACTCTTTCTAGAAGGTCTGCGTCACCTTCCAGACAAGGATTAGCCGTCCATGCACAGCTTCCTAATTTAGAACTAACTAAGGATGTGTATAAGATGGTGAACATATTACCACTTATTTTCGTAAACGTTCTACGTAATGCACAGAGACTCCTAAAACTGAGAACTTCTGCCAATCGACAGCGAGCCATGATTTTCAAATTACAACTCACTGTGACTCCTAGGTTATTGTGGGTCAGCATAACGGTGAAGGAGTTTCATCAGTATGGCAGGTGTTGCCACCTATGTACTCCGTGTGCATGCTAACACATTTACCTGCATTGATGGGCGTCGGCCACTTTTCTGACCAGATAAACAAGCTGTTTAAAGTCTGTTTGAAGTGCACGTATATCTTCGCCATTCCTAATTTCCCGCCAGATTTTTACATCATCAGCGTAGAGAACCATAGGGGATTCCGGATATTTGGCAGCTCATTTATGTATAGAAGAAATAGCAAGGGACCAAGGATTGTGCTTTTTGGCACTCCATTCTCTACCGACTACATTCCGAGACGGTTGAGAATCGTTCCTCACCCTTTACCTTCTACTAACAAGGAACTCTGTGCTGCGTGCAGGTAGGTTACCAGTGACTCCAAACGTTTCCCGGGCAACTTGGAATAAGGTGCCTTGTCGAACGCCTTACTAAAGTCTACGGTATAACATCTACAGGTAGACTTAACGCAACTTTATCTTATTGTCAGAAAGTTTGTCAAGTAAGGAAGATCTCTGCAAAAGTCATGCTACTAACAAGACAACAGAGTTTTGTTCTCTAAAAGAACTGTAGCAGCTTTCTCGACTACTTTTTCTAGTATTTTTACCATATTACTGGTCAAACTTATCCGTCTGTAATCTGATGGGTGCTACTTAGGACCTGCCGTATAGATAGGTGTGACTGTGACATCCTTCCAATCGTAGGGGAGTTTGTTTTTACAGAGGTACAGTCAGTGGGCCGACCATATAGAGTACCAGCTCTCTGAGCAGCCTTGGGGGCAGCTCATCCGGCCCCGCTGATGTTTCTACATCAAGAATACTCAATGTCTGAAATGCATCATCGCTATCGATATCCACGAAGTTTATTCTGTCGGATGTCAGTGCTTCTATTTTTGAATTAGTGTCCACAGTATGTTCCTGTGCGAAGACCTTAACAAAATATCGTGCCACAGCTGCTTTATCCTTATCATCTTGAGTTGTCATTTGGTTCCTGTCCATTTGATTAGGATGGGTATACCACGATATGTCTCATTCCTATGGTTCACATTCGACAATAGCCTCTTTGGATTTGTAGTGCATCCTGAGCAAGACATGTTTCAAGGCATATTTGAGATCAACGGATAGCAGGGACACATTCATTTCGGGTTTCTCTTTAGTGTAAGTATAAAATTTGGGGACTGTAGTAGAATTTAATTCCATATTAGATTTGTTTATTTGATTGATAACACACAGTGACATAGTATTATTCACCTGATGACGTTTCGAACATAAATTATCATTGCTCATAGTCATATCAATGTAATCACAAAACTTTCGACATTTGATTTTTATAGTCCTATCATCTCAAATGATTTGTTTTTATTGGTGGTAAAATCTCCCATATCTCTGGCATAGGTGTTGCATCATTTCTATTACATGTGACCTACACTTATTGATTGTACCACATCTGATAAAAATTTTCTTAACAAAGCCGTTATTTCTTTGACTCAAAATATTTCAACTTACGGCATCCAGAAGAAGCAAATGACCTACATTCATATGATGAAGCAGATATTATTATTATTATTACAAAAATAAAACAGAGTTTTACTCCTTTATGGCCATGCTCTCTAGTAGTGCATATCTGGGGTGTGGAAAAACATATGTAGTACTAGAATTGTGTTTGAACCTTCTTCTGGTACAGAGTTAACAACAGCTCCTAGTTTAAGGATAGGAAGTGAGGTGATGTTATACGTCGACCACTTCAATTACTTTAGGAGTTGCATCAGACCAAACGAGCTAGTTGCTGAACAAAATTTCAGCTGGGATAAAGAAGGTCTGTTTGGCGTTAGCCAAATTACATCCTCTATGGCAAACGGCTGGCAAGATATCCAATCACCTATTAAAAGAAGAGTAAACTACTCTGCAACCCTCTCTGTCCTGTTATATGGGTGTGAAAGATGGCTGTTAAAAGTAGAAGATATGAAGCAATTACAAAGTTTTGATCACAGATTTCTTCGCAGCACTGATTGTATTTAGTGGAATCACTGGTGTCAGCAGTGTTGATTAAATACTTTGCCTTTTGTAAACTTCTGTCACTGTTTCGTTTTTATTTTTATGTGTAAATCTTTTGTGTCCTAACAAACAAAAACGAACATTCAGGTGTTGATTTAATCCTCAGGATTCCAATATTATGTGCAGAGGAATTTGGTAGAATTATAGAGTAGACTTAAGGCCACATAAAATCCTGAACAATGATTCATTATTTCAAGATAGTATTGTTTGTAGAAGCACTAAAAGGGAAAATCAGTAGTGGAAAAGGGGTATTAAAAGGTTATTATGAAAAGACTAAAATTAATTTGATGCATTCTAAAGGGAATAATTGATACTCTCAGAATTTTGTTGTTAGTTATGATTTACCGTTGTCGTAGAAATCAAGGTACTTCATAAGGTTTCATGTCTATACACTTTATCTGATCACGTGTCTTAGTCTAGATAAGACAGTTAACATGAGAAAGTTTCGAAATTATGGTTTATCCTTATCCTAGTGAAGGCGAAGTACAATGAGCTGGATAGCATGAGCTAACTGCGTGTTATCGTTTATGATGGAAAATAAATTGTAATGAAATGGATCTGATAATAAGCTGTCTTCAAAGCCTTTTTTATTTTGGTGAATATTTCATCGTCGTATAAGATAACCTGCCTACCAAAAGTAGCATTTTAAACAGCGATGGTATTGTCAAGTAGTATTCGGGGTTGCAAAGTGGATTAGTTATGACATTCATCTTGTGCACTTTCACAATAGTAATTAAACTGAAAATCTTCACACTTGAATCAAAATATTTTACTGATTTAATTTGCTAACTTCCTAATGCTATATACTAATTGGATAAAATAGTGGCCACAGAAATCAACTAGACCACATTTGACCGACATTAAAATATATTAGATAGTTGTGGTTTATTAAACCATTAGACTTTATAATTTCTCTACTACTGAATAAATATCTCAGTGAAATGAACAATAATTGTTGGCTTTAGAATACTTTTTTTCCCCACAGCTCCGAACAAGAAGCTCGCAAACGTGCTATGATGGCTGACAAAATCAAACAGCTAACAATACAGAAGTCACAAATCAATGCGGAAACTACTCGATTAAAAGAAACTGTAAAGGATTATAAATATTTCAAAGAATTTATTGAACGTTTAATTCCAGAACCGTACAGTACACAACGAAAAACTGCTAGACAAAATAAAAAGCAACTGAAATATGAACAGAAGTTACAACTTGAAGATTTAACTTCAAAACCATCATCACTTGGTAAAGATTAATTAAGACGAGTTTTGGTATTCACCTACTTACAGATTAGCAGTTAAATAGGTATAAGATTTTTTCTCATTGAATTTCTGACTATTGTACGTACTATATGTAAGGCTTTTTAATTCACCTGACTGAAGCTGAAGATCCACTGGCTTGAGCACTTGATAGTTATGAAGAAGGTTGTAGTTTACAAAACCCACTCCACCTACCGATGTCTCAATAACCAGGTGGTATCATTCGGTAACAGGCAAGTTCAGCTCATAGCCGAATGGATAAAAGAAAGCATGGTTATTGAGCTGCATCATAGTAACCTATTCGTTTTGTTCACATTCATTAATAGGTCGCCAAATACCACTTACCGCCTTATTGTCTGATTCTAAGTGTTGAAGTTTGAACACAGTCTGCCGGAGCACCAGTTTCAGTAACTTTACAAATACTGCGTTTATAAAAGCCGACAAATGTGAAAAGCGCATCCTAGACCATCCGTTGATTATTGACAGCCATTTAATAGCATCCAGTAGTCTGTTACGATTGGTTCATGTGTAACTGTATTTGCTGATAGTGAAGCAGTTAATAGTCTATTAATCCTTATCTTAGTGTAATGAATTTTGTCACTAAGGTAGCCAAGCTTGAATCTGACTGTCCAATAAACTTCACTTTTTCTGTTAACTAGCTGGTAAAGATTGTTTAAATTGCAAACGACAAAGACTTACATTCTTGTTTACTGCTTTTGGTCACATTCAGTAATAGAAGAAAATCACTGTACTACAGACTGTTACTTCTTGTGAGTGTTTAAGTTCCACAGAAAAGTCGATTAAGCGCTCCTAATTACATGGTGTTTCTCAATGAACGATGATATGATTAATGTCCCAGGGTATTAAGATTGAACAAACACAGGATTTGATTGCATCCTATTAAGTACGAAGTTTAATGCGAGATTTCTATCTTATAACGGTAAATTGATGTCCACGTCAAACTAGTCACTACTAAGCCACTACAAGAATATAATCCCTTTTCTCTTTAACCAAACTGTTTAATACTGTGGGTCTACACTACTTATTAGTAAGTTTAATATGAATCATAGTTGCTTGATAACTAGCAAAAGATTTCCACTTATCTGTGTTATGTAAGATGTAAATACAAACTAGGGGGAAGCCTATGATGTATCAAAGTCAAGAACTAACATTAATTGGGTCTTCTGTCACAAAGAATAAAGTTAGTGTAGTCCGAATACGTTTGCTCATCACCGTTTGTAACTGCCTTATTACCATAAACAATGGAAAAAGATGTTGAATTCTCACCTAGTCAATAGGGTTCACCCATTATAAAGAAGTAGACACCAGAGCTTTGGTTGCTTTTTGTTAACCGATTAGTATGTAACTTGCGCATTAACTTATGACAAAACATACATGACATAGAAATAAAGAATGTTGCACAAAAGTTGGTCATTTCAAGAAGTCGTTCATCTTAACAGCATAGAAGAAAAAAGCCAACGAATAATTGAAAGATATTTAAGATGAGTAAGAATAGAATGATATGAGATGTTTGCTTAATAAATCAACTTTCTGATTTACTTTTTATCATGAATTTTGTCTTATTTTGAAAATAGCTTCAAACGAATATTCGTTTCGAAGACCATCCTTTGTTATAACTAAGAGATCATCATTAAAGCCTACAATAAACACGTAAGCTGGTTTTAAATACATAAATGTATAAAAAGTTCTATTTACAAACACCTTGTGAAATTATTAGAGTGTATCAATATTATTTTAGTTTTGATAGAAGATAAATGTCAAACTTATTGACACTTCAAAAAGAAGTAAAATGTGATCAGTGAAACTAGTAAATCTGTGATAAAAAAATTATTAGGAATTGTCGTATGAAGGTATATATCATAGGTATTTTAACTAAGTGAATTACGCTTCGGTTTGAAATGTGGGAAAAGATTTGTATTTCAAGATGAAGTTGGTCGTGGTTCAGTTTTCTCTGATGCTTGACATTTTTTCATGAACGTTTCATCACCAGGTTTGGTGATACTCTTATTACTAACTTCATGCAGAAGTAAAGCAAATTCGAGTTATACACGTATTTTGAGGTAGTGTTTTCAATGACCTTGAATGTTATTCACTTGTGAGTTGAAAAAAGAATTTCTGTCACACATTGACCGCTTTGACCTTAAATTTCATCCGGTCACACTGATACGGAGTCTTTATTAGAGTAAGATTGTTCTATTCGTTACTTTCAAACAATGTTTCATTGTTGATTTGTTTGGTCATTTTGCACTTGGTTGGTAAAAGTTGTATTTCTTGTTAAATAAATTTAGATTGCGTCTATATCCACGTGTCCACTGATTAACATTTTGTTGGAATGCCATGCTTCTAGAAAATCGTTTGCAGCTTTTGAACCTGCTCTTTGGAAGATTTCTACACTCTTCCAGTCGAATTTGTGATCATGATTGTTTGCATGCATCAAAACCAAGAAGATCACATCATGTTGTTTTACAGCTAGTTGGGGTTCATGGATTCTTTGAGCAGTCCGGTGACCAGACTGATCAACATAGTGTTGTGAACAATCCTTACAGCTGATTTCGTATATTCTATTTGTCCTATCTTCATTTGGCAACGTAGCCTTTAGGTTGCGTGACGTGTTCTGCAAAGATTTCGTTGGTTTGTGCGCCACTCCACCGCCGAACGAACAAAACAACCGATTGACTGTTTCTGAGATATCTTTGATGTAGGGTAGTATAACACGCCCATTGATTCGAAGTTATTGTACTGTCCTGTGTTCTGTTGATAAACACAGAATGTTCAGTACACTCATTTTTAAAGATGGATTCCACTGAGGAGGAACATAAATCTGATTCATTTGTTTTTGCCTGGAATTGAAAAGATGTGGACAGATGGTAAGAGTAAAGGTGAAATAGATAGACTACCACAAGTTTTCTTGTAAAGTGAACATTCCTTTAAATTCGTTTAGAAAAATCTAAACACCGATCACTACATCGAAGAAATTCTGTCAACCCTGAAGGAAACGTTGTTTGCGCGTGTTGATTTTAAATGGAATACTGTAGCAAAGATTATTAAAAGCCGACTGATCAGATTGACAAAAACCATATTCTTTTCTGCTGATCTTTAATTCCTCTTCTTTACTCAACAGCAAATTCGTGTGTGTTTTAGGGATAAAATATTACTTTCAGTCACATCAATGTTCGGAGAGTGTATGCTAAACAGCATCTTGTATGGCTTTTGAAAGGTCTATACTTGGGCATCTAGTCGATTCAGATAATGTAATCCCACTGGAATCTTGTTTTATAGCTGTCCAAAAAGTTAGGCTATGACTTGCTAACTGATGCTGTCCGATTCAGTTATTTTTCCAATGTAGTGGCAATTCTGTATATATGTTCGCCAAACATATTAGCTGGCAAGACACGGAACTTTGCAAAAAGAATGCAGTAGCCTGGGATGTCTTAGTTCTTAGCAAAAAGGGACGAAAAGGCTAGAAATGGACAGGTGTTAAATAAAACAAATAAGAATGATTGAAGTAAATAGGGCATGTAAACAATGAACTGGTGTGCACCTATGTGATTGATTTAAAGATATATAGCATGAGGTCTTCACTGTCCAGGGATCTTAACCATAAACTGTTCATAGTTCACCCCAAAAGCGAGTTTAACTTAACTGATAAGTGTTGCACCTTGGTTTTTTGAAAAACAGTCCTACTTCAGCTAACATCACTTGTTAGGCTTCCTTATAAAGTATAGACCGACAGTCGTTGAATTAACGGAAGACTACAACACTTTATCCCGACCAACATGGCATTATACCAACGTAGTTAAAGACCAGGAGAGATCGCACACTGCACATCGCAAAGATAACCATTTTACATTTCCTAATGCTTTTCAAAATAAATTATAATTTGGAAAACAACTTATTTTGTTGTAGTATGATTACAAATCTAGGTCAGTAATTTTCCAATATATTGGGTCGTATTTCTAATGTTTTTGTTTGTGATCAAAAGTTGTTTTCTTTTTCTTTTTTCATGAACGTAAACACTTATTGAATATAGAAGTAGTATTCATCATGGACTGACATCAGTTGGGGATCCATTGGAAATCTGGGAGCACTGGACAGATGTTTCGTCCTAGTATGGGACTCCTCAGCAGTCCACACCCACGACCCAGCTAGGGGTTGAACTCAGGACCTTCAAGTTTCACGGCGAACGCATTAACCATTCAGCCACTAGGTCGGTCTCCAATGGTTCACAATTTCCAAGTTCTGTCAATTCACGACATAGCTTCCAGATGGATATCAGGAAGTTCTAATGAGAAGCCGTGACCTGTGGGGTCAACCAGTCGGAAGTGAAGTGGATGCTAACTGAAGACTTTGGGTGACAGTCGCGCTATGTTGTATTTGTATTATTATAATATTATTTTTCCCTTGGGTTCCTAATGGAACATAGGGCTTCAGTAGCACGTCTCCAGTGCACTCTGTTCTCTGAAATCTTTTGAACCTGGCTCCAAGAGAGCCCACAAGCTCTCATTTCTTCCTCGCACGATCTCCTCCATGTCACCCTCGAAAGCCCCACTCCTCGCTTCCCATCCGGGTTCCACTCGAGCGCCTGGCCTGACGCGTGATGTCCCCATTCGGCCTTCTCAGTGTATGCCCAATCCATCTCCATTTCCCTCTACATATTTGTTGAGTGGTAGGTTCGTTCCCATAGTTCATTGTTGCTTATTATTTCTGGCCATCTGATCTTTAGTAACGAGTCAGCGTAGGCAGTTGTTGAATGTCTGTAGTTTGTTGGAAATGCCTTTCGTAACGCGCCAAGTCTCTCAACCATCACACAGAAGCACTGATTTGACGCTGGTGTTGAAAATCTGGATCTTGTTCCACATCTGAGTGCAGAAGATCTCCACACTGGTTTCAGGTTAATGAACACCTGTCTTGCTTTTCCGATCCTGACTTTGACGTCCTCGTCCGTCCCGCCTGTAGTTGGAACAGTGCTGCCTAGATAGGTGAAAGAGGACTACTCCCTTTAAGTCTCTCCCGTTGGTGGTGATTGGAGCTTGTTGTTGTTGGTTGGGTATCTTCGTCACTTCTGTCTCCTCTATATTCACCTGAAGTCCCGTCTTCGCTGCCCTGCTTCTTCTGTCAACTTGTTAGTTTTCGCCTGTAGATCTTCCAGTTTGTGTGATATCAGACACAAGTCACCGGCGAAATCCAAATTTTCTAGGATCTTTACTCCAGTTCGGCGTATCCCCCTCTTCTCGCTCCTCACTGTTTATCGCATGATCGAGTCCAATTGACCACAGTCAGGAATGTCATGGGTGATAGTAGGCAGCCTTGTTTTACTCCTGTCTTCACTTCAAAAGCATCACTGAGCTTCCCGTTGTGAATTACTTGGCTGGCATGTGGCGTCTTCATATAGTTGTTGAATGAGATTGATAAAGGTTTGTGGTATTCCGTAGTGTTGAAGCAGTCGTCAAATTACTTGCCGGTCGACGCTGTCGAAGGCCTTTTCAAAGTCTATGAAGTTGAGGTGACTGCCATTCTATACTCTGTTCTATGATGATGCGAAGTGTGGCGTTGCAATTTGGTCGACACATGATTTGTACTTCCTGAAGCCATCCTGTTCTGGTCATAGTTTTGATCCAGTGCATCCTTTAGTCTCTCCAAGATGATGCGGCCTGATATTTTGCTTGGGGTGGACAGGATCGTGATTCGGCGCCATTTCTTGCAAACACTTAGGTCGCCCTTCTTTGGGTGTTTGACAAGATAGCCCTTCTTCCAATCGACAGGTACCTTCCCTTCCTTCCAAACCTTCTGCAATAGTGGTGTCAGCATGTCCGCTGTGCGTCTATTTTCAGTGCTTTTTGTGAGATTCCATCTGGCCCTGCCGCTTTCCTGCATTTCAGCAGTTTTATGGTGCTCGTGACTTCAACTTTCGTCAGAGCGCCTATGTTCACTTGTAGTTCTGTAGCTAGGCTGCAGGTCATATTTCTGGACGAAGTGCAGGTGGTGGTCGATTCAAGAGCATTTTGAAGTGGTCGGCCCATCGTTTCCTTTGTTTCTCTTCTTTGGTAATTAGATTTCCTTCATCATCTTTTATTGGTTTCATTTGTGTTGATCTCTTCCCAATAGTAACTTGGTTGTTTGATACAACGTTGTCAAGTCTCTATCTCTCCTACCAGTAGTCTGTTCTGCTTCACTTGCCAGTGTGTCGTGGAAGTGTCTTTTGTCTTTCCGTACACTCTTCTTCACTTCTTTGTCCAGTGTTTTATACACTGCACTCAGTTACTCATCTCGTTGTGCATCCTTGCACTGCACTGGTTTATCTTCTCCTTCACCATCCTCTTCTCCCTCCGCTATCAGCTTCCATGTGTCCATCGAGATCCATTCCTTGTCTTCCCTCTTCTTCTTCCTTCCTGACACGGTTATGCAGGTTTCTTTCCACATAGCTTTCAAAGAGTTCCAGTGTTCTTCCACACAGGTTTCTTCAGGGACGTTGCTCGATATCTCCCATTTTGTCATGATGGCTGTCGTAAAGATGTTCCTCGTAGTTTCGTCCTTCAGTTTCTGTTCTGGGTGTTGAACTTGAACTGTGGTCTATCACCAGCTTCCCCGAAAGCTTCAACTTGATTTTGAATGCAGGTTCCTTGCACTAGATAGTGAATGGTGTGAACCTACATC